TCAAAGCTTAGCATGTTTTCTCTTAGGATAATAAGTAAGCTTCCTTACCAGTCACTGGTAGGAATGACACATCAAAAAGTTTTAGGCTTAGCAATTCTATGACAGTCATTTATAACATCTTCAAATTCCTGTATTCTCTAAAACCTATTTATCATTTTCTCTTAAAAGATCCCCCATGTCTTCTGGCTGGAGGTGGTGCATGCCTTTAATCCCAGCATTCTGGAGGCAGAGACAGGTGGATATCTGTGAGTTCAAGGCCAGCCTGGTCTACAGAGTGAGTTCCAGGACAGCCAGGGCTACACAGACAAACAACAAAAAACAGCAACAATTTCCCAATCTCACAAATTTATACTTACACTATATCAGTACAGTGTAACTTGTTCTTTTTTTTTTTTTTAATGTAGAAGAGATCATATCCTGAGACAGGAGTTCAGAACAAGCCCCTTTCCCATTTTCCTTCTTGTTTTAGAGGGAGGATCTCATTATTCCAGACTGGCCTTGAATCCATGATGTAGCTGAGGATGATCTTGAACTTCTGATTCACTTGCCTCAATCTCCCAAGTGTTGGAATTACACCATATCAAGTTTTATGGAGTACTCAATGTTGGACCCCAAAGTCCCAGTCACAGTTTGGGGGGGTCTCGAGTGGCGCCCCAAGAACCCAGACTCCAGTCCAGTTGATGCAATAACAGGAGGATTTATTAAGCAAACCCCGCTCCTAAGAGCAAGAGCCGCATCTTACTGCAGCCCCATGAGGGCTTATAAAGGAAAAACCCACAAAACCCATAAGATTACAATTCCCATACAATTTCGTTTCACAAGATCATGGTCTGAGTACAGAGTGATCACAGAGGGGGTACAGTTACGTCAACAGGTACATTTTTCCTGAAACCTCAAAGGGGGGGTATCAAGGCGGGAGTGGAGTTTACACACAGGTCACGGTAGTCCTTCCTGGAACACCTGGAACTATCCCAGTCACAGTTGAGCACATCTCTTAACAGAAATCTTTTTACATTGTTTTATGATTGCAGGGGAGATTGAATAATGGCTTAGTCAGGTTGCTCTTGGAACTAGATTTTTAGTTTCTCATTTCCTGGTGCTTGAAGTTTCTCTTTTCCTGAGGCTTGGGGGTGTAAGCCTGAAGGGCTAGGGTCTTTCACTCAAGACAGAACCCAGGGCTTAGTGCATATTAGACAAGCACGCTACTAAGAGAACTGCATCCCCAGCCCATTGTCTTGTTCTTTTTATGACACCATCTTAGGAACTAACCCTTGCAGAGATGGGCACAGTCTCTCCTATGAACAGTATCCCAGTTTGTCACCTTCCACTGGGACCTGCCTCCTAAAAGCTTTCCCATCTCTTACATCACCACAACGAGGGCTAAGCTTTGAGCACAAGTACCTGGGTGATATACTCAAACCTTATCTATTCCTTCTAAAACATTACCCTTTAAAACTATATCCAGACCTTTAAGACTATCCCAGCACCATTCAAAACACTCTAGTGGTTTCTCAAAAAGTTAAACAGTCATCTGCCATTTGGCCCTTTATTTTTGGATATTGCCACCCCCAGATGAAACTATATGCCCATACATTAATTTATACACTAATATCCAGAACACCTTCATTTATCATATTCAAAATGTGAATATAAGCCAAATGTCCATCATCCAAGAAGTTGATAAACAAATTGTGGCATATACATACAGTTGACTTAGTAATAAAAAAGAACCAATCTTTAAAATAAAGTATGTGTATGTACATGTGCAAGTATGGTATATGTATGTGTAAAGTATATACACATGTGTGCAGACACATGCACTTTTGTGTACACTCACAGAGGCTCAAGGAGGACAAGGTGTCTTACTCTATGACTCTCCACTTTATTCCCTGGAGACAGGGTCTCTCACTGAACTGGAGCCAAGCTTATGGCCAGAAAACCTCATTGACCTCTGTCTCCACTCCCCACAGCTCTGGGTTATAGGCCCTAGGGCAGCCACATGTAGTTTCTCACACATGTACTGGGATCTCAACTCAAATGGGCCATAGAAGTGGCATTATCAACCCTGGGTTAAGTGAAATATTAATACGTAGCATTTATATAACTGATTATACACCTGAAGGTAAGGGTGGAATTATTTTCCTAATTTCACAATACACCAAGATGAATTCCAGATAGCTAAAGGATTTAACTGTGAAAAGTAGTAGTTTAACATTTTTAAACCCATATGACTCTTTATAATGTCACATAAAAAATCCATTCTTAAATAAGATACAAAGGCACAGCCATGAAAGAAAATATAATTGCAATGACATTTAGATTTTTGGGATGAAAGGGACCATAAATAAAGTCAAGAATGGAGCCACAGATTGGGAGAATATGTTTGCCGTCCATATAATCGACAAGAGATTAGGATGTTAAATGTAGAAAGATGGGCTAAGCAGAAAAAGTCGGGAAGGCCAAGGAATGCATGAAAAATGATCAGTTGGCCTACTTGATCTGGAAAACGAAACCAAAACTCAATGTCACAATGCAAAAGGAAGTTCAGAGTGTTCATGCAAAGAGACTTGGTTCTGCAAGTTTGAAAATAGATATCAATGTTTTGTCCCCATGTGATGGGGCGAGCACAGTTGGCCCTAACCAAACAGATTTCCCTCACCCTTCTTCTCTGGATAGCATGTCTCCAGTGAAGATTTCAAAATGCCAAACATGTCTCAAACCTCCTTACACCTTGGGCTAGCCATGCAGGCCACTTCTGGCCAATGAAATTTAAGGAGACATCAAAAGCATGAAGGAGGGATTCTGGGGAAAACATTGTTGTACGCTGAGAAGAGGCTTAAAATGAAGTCCTGTCTCCCTGATCTTCGTTCCCTAGATGTCATTATGTTAGGACACAATGGCTAGAAATCCTGCAGCCATTCTTTGACAAGAAGCTTAAGGATAAAAGACATCTCAGGAGATGAAAGACTAGAAAGAAAGAGCCTGACTCTTACTGACCCTGGGGTCACCTCTCTTCTGGGTATCTCATTATATATAGATCATACATCTCTCATGTAAAGCCTGTTTTGAGTCTCTGTTGCATGAAGCCCAAAGCCATTTAATTGGTATACCCTGTGTCATGAGTTGAACTGTGTCTCCACAAAGACGTTGAAATCTTTACCCTAGTACTTCTAGGGTAAATGTATCCTTACTCGGAAATAAGATCTTTGTAGAACACACACACACACACACACACACACACACACACACACACACACCCCAAAGGGTGTGTATTTATGAGTCACTGAGGCAGGCAGTTCTACATCCCATATGACTGGGCTGATGTAAAAAGGAAGAAATTGGGGCTAGGGAAATGGCTCAGTGGCTAAAGTGTATGCTATGCAAGCATGAAAACCTGAGCATTCATGTAAAACTTAGGCACAGCTGCATATGGGGAGCAGAGACAAGGACCCCCTGCCCCCAGTGGCCAGCCAGTCTAATAAAAATCCCAGATTCAGTGAGAGAACTTATCTCACAAAATAAAATGGAGAGCAATAGAGAAAGATACCCAGTGTTTTTCTCTGGCCTATTATACGCGCGCGCACGCACACACACACACACACACACACACACACACACACGCACGGAAAGTTAGATGTAAAAATAGGCATAGACAGAGAGAATACAATATGAAGACCCCCAGGGAACCCCTCCCACCCAGCCAAGGATGTCTAAAGATCCCAGGAACTGGGAGAAGGGCATGGAACAGAGTCCCTCACAGTCCTACAGGAGCCACCCCTGCCGAGATCTCCTCTTTTGACTTCCAGCCTCCAGACTGTCAAATAGTCCATGTCTGTTGTTGAAGCCACACATACAATAAGTACCTTGTGATGGAAGCTCTAGAAAATCAAAAGGCCAGTGAAAGAAACCATGGCACAGTCTGTGACTCACATTTGTGTATAGATTATTTGTGCATAGATAAATGCCATTAAAATTGTAAAATATCCTTCCCTGAAAAAAAAAAAAACACAGTTAATTCCACAGAAGGAAAGTGTGCAATAAACACAAATTAAGAGCAGCCTGGAGATGATGCTTTCTCTTACTACAATGGTGATCAGCACCCTGGGGACACCTGTCAGTCAGGGTGTGAGGAAATGGAAACACTTCCTGTGTCAAGAAGAAAAGTGCCCTATGAAGAGAAACTTGGCATTGTTTTCTTCAAAATAAAAAGTGACATATGTCTTAACTTAGATAATTTACTCCTAGGATTCTATCTTAAACACACACACACACACACACACACACACACACACACACACACACACACACGGACTTTATCCTAGCATTGCTTAGGAATTAGTGCAAATATTAAAACACTGAAAATGTCCTTGTGTGTGAATCTAGCGCACAGTAAATTCATCAAGTGTTGGTCTACTAACTGCAGAAGTGAGAACCAGCTGTGCTCACCATCAAGCACACTGTTAAGTGTGGGGGAAGAGGGAAGTGAGACAGAGAAAACCTGTTGAAGAGCATGTGCTGCCTTGTGCTAGGTAAATTTCTAGAAAGCCATGTGAGGAAACAAATGGCAGGATTAGTCTCTGAAAAAAGGGAGAAAGAAACTGAGTGAGATACTTTTTGTAATTATTCATCTGTAACTAACTACTTTAAAACAGAAAGAAAGCTATGACACAGTATGGCAAATTTTCCTATTGTGTTCTTGATAAAAAAGAGAAGTTCCTAATATTTCATGGACATCCCAATGTGTTTAAAATGTTCATGATTTAACCTCTTTCACTTTAAGACAGTGACAGAAGGTACAGGTTGAGGTGCACGCAATGGGGAATGAATCATTTAGTGTACTGAGAGTGATGAAAAGCTAACTTGGTAAATGAGAAACACTCACTTCTTGGCTGTGAATTGATCGGCTTGGACCCTGAAATTGCACAATGCCTTGGAAAAAAAAGATTACAGCAAGAAAGTAGGTCCCAAACTCTAATTGACTGTCCTTACCTCTGTTTCAGCATCCTTTTGTGGCATTAAATTTCTATCAGTTGTGTATGTTTTCTGCCTCTGTCCTTGAAGGACTCCCAAGGAGATTTCATCACTGCCAACTTAGATTCCTCAACAGGTAATTCAACTTGTAATAAACTCTTACCTTCAGGAACCAAAATGACCAACTTTACTATGAATTTCACCCTATTCAACCTATGAATGCAGAAATGACTTCATAATATTTTATTGTTAATCATAGTAAGAGGAGGAAGGGAAAGGGGAGAGAGGAAGGAGGAGGAGAAGAAGGGAGGGAGAGAGAGAGAGAGAGAGAGAGAGAGAGAGAGAGAGAGAGAGAGAGAAAGTTGAACAGTGTCAGAAGAATCTGGGTGGTAGCCATAGGAGTGTATTCCTTGAGTATATCTTGGATGAAGTTCTTTCTTCAAACTAAATTAGCCTAATCATTTCTAAAGATTCCAGAATCAATTATTGTGCTGGTTAGTTTTTGTCAACTTGACACAAGCTATACATACCTGGGAGGAGGAAAGCCTAACTGAGGAATTGCCTCCATTAGATTGGGCCTGTGGGAACATCTATGGGACATTTTCTCAACTGTTGATTGATGGGGAAGGGCCCAGATCACTGGGGGCAGTCCCACCCTGGGTTAACGGGCCTGGGCTACATAAGAAAGAGAGCAGAGCAAGCCAGAGCACAAGCCAGCCAGCAGTGTTCCTCAATGGCTCTGCTTCAGTTCCTGCCTTGATGTCCCTCTGTGAGTTCCTGCCTCCCGCAGTAATGGACTGTGACCTGGAAGAGCAAATATTCCCTTCTTCTCATTAAGTTGGTTTTGGTCCTGGTGTTTGTCATAGGAACAGAACTCAAACTAAGACAGTAATATATGTAGAGTCAGACTTCTCCCAAGTGTGTATACCACACCTGACACATTCTGGCAAGGAGAAAACACCACAACAACTAAAAACAACTTTCATTACAAAATATTTTAACTGCATTGTTTAAAGTGCTTAACATGGGAGCAATCTGTCTAAGCAGACATAGGTTGCTTTTGTCCTTCACTTTAAACTTGTACTTTTAAATGGTGGGGCTACCCACTATTTAAAATTTTAACTGGGGGCTAATAGGTTTCACATTCTTCATCTTGTATTTTAAATTTCTAAGCGAGGAAATGCTTCATTTTCATTGTTTGAAAAACGTCAGTCATTGAAAGGAATAAAAATATTAGTCTCTTGCTTGGTTGACTCCGTATTTCTCCCCTTTCTGGCCCTTCATAACACATGTGCACAGGAAACAGATTCTTCATCTTTCACTCTGTTTCCTGTTTTCTTTTTTTTCTCATCATCTAAAATCTATTCTTGCCACTCACCTCTCCTTTGAGAAAACTGATCTTTTCAATATCCTGATCTGATCAATTTCCAAGTAGTTTCTCAAAGAACAAGAAGCATAGCTGGTCATATGGAGTTATTTTGGCAGAAAATCATGTCCTACTCCACAGCGATTCGGTGAAATAAATCCTTTCCTCTCCAAGTTGCTGTGGATCATGGTAAACAGAAAGCAAAGCAGGGCAGTCATATATGGACCTCCACCTCCCCCCATGTGGATATACCTTGTCTGACACTTTCTCTGTAAAAGAAGTTGTCTTCATCTCAGCTCCCAGACACCTCTGGAGCACAGGCAAGAACTTCTGTGCCCACCCACTTGGATGTGTATTTACCCTTTTTGTAAATATGTTTATGCTTTGTATTTTTAATTATATAATTCCATTAAATTGTATGTAAGTAAATTAGGTAAGTGACAAATAAATACTACACTTCCTATGAAAATTAAGGGATTTTTTTGGTAAATAATGACCTGTGTGAGTCTATTTTTAAAAATGCTGATATTGAAATGCCAGGTGTAATATCCATTGGACATTATGGATTTCTGGAGGCATTCTGCACTTAGATGATTTCTTAGCCCACTTAAAAGGCTCTGCCTCTCCAATAGCTCCCCCAGTTTCTTCCATTTTGCTTACCAGATGTTACCTATTTTTGTTCTTCCCAGAAAAAATACAGATGAAAGATGACTATGATTTGGATAGATAGTGATAGATGTGGTGGGAAGTGGATGTACATTTGCGACAGGGGACAGACAAGACTCATGCCCAGGCTGTCCTCACACTCACCATATAACCCAGGCTAATCTTAAACAGTGGTCCTTGGCTTCTTAATGATGGGATGAACATATGCACCCACACCAGCCTGGATATATTTCCATAGCAGAACCCATTTCATCAAGTATATAATTGTATATGAAATGTGGAGGAGGACAAAAGAGAGAAGTGATGCCAAGATTTTGTTAG